GGTGTACAAACTTCTCATAAAATCATTATTTCAGTGTGATAAATATTTTATATATAAAGAATCTTCTATACACATATTAAAGAATAAGCAATCAGATCTATATATCCATATTTGCTTCAGTTTACATGTAGATCTGGGCATGTTCTTCTTTTCTCCTTAAGCGGGAGACACGAATTATTCTCTGAATTAGCTTGTTTTCGCAATAGCTGCGACGTTATTTCCCGTACTAACAACCTTATTTCCCGTACTAACAACCAAAGAAAGACATTTTATTGTTATATTTATATCTGTATAAATAATCATTAAAAGTGGGATTGAAAAGATTATTTATTGTATTATTGATATGTACGTCATAGTACGTTTCATTGATGGAACAGTCATTGATCAAGAAATCTGTACAGGTGATATGCTTAGTGTTGTTCATGAACTGAGAAACGGCAATGGTTTTCTTTAGAAATGAAGGAGAAAATATTCAGTGGATGTATATATGAAGTTCTTTTATAACTAATAAATAATTTATGATAGATTACAATATGAGAGAATATAGTAAAAATATCGTGAGATGTTTCGTGCCGAAATGGGCGCGAAACATCCTGGCGCAAACCATATTAGAGGGAAATATAATCGGCGCGAAACATCCCGGATTCATTACGACGACCAAGTTTGTAAACAATTCCTGTCAGTTTACAACAAGACAATCAACTGAAAACAAGTTAAACTACAATAAGATATGACTTCATCTATAAAACTATGGTTCATCAACTAAAGGATATGAATTAAAAATCCCTGGCATACTAATTATGCTTAACACTACAGGTTTGCTACAGCTGATTCCTACGTAAATCAAAACATGTGCACAAACTGTTTCAACACATACATATCACTTAAACTTGTCATTAGCTACCTATCAACTACATAAAAAGCATAAATTATACATATTCCTGCAATGTCAAGTAAATATACACATAAACAAGCTCATAACTTTCCTACAAATGTCAACAATAATCAGATTCAATAACTCGGTACAAAACCAATCTATCAAATCATTGGACTGTTACAGTATTGTGGACATTGAAATCAACTGAGCCGTCCCATGCGAAAAGGGCCCTTATATATTTTGACGTCATAATGAGAAAAACGCCGGTAAAGATAACGTCATAAAATGCAAGTTGCGTATGTTACATATTTTCCCAACATTTTTACCTGAGCTCTATCAACTTATTTTCATTGTTGTTTATATTATCTAGAGCCAATAAAATATCAGGGGAAAAAAAAGAAAATATGAATTTTTAGAGCTAAGTACCATATAAATGGACATTTCCAATATTGAATATTAAATTTTGCTGATATAATTCGGTGCTAGTTTTTTTATCCGATTTTTCATACATTGAAGGCGATCGTACATGCACATAATTGATATATACCTGTACATGTACACATCCTTTTTAACACAAATTCATATCAACCGAAGTGAAATACTTTATAATAAATGAAAAGAAAAATCTTAAACCGTTCCCAGCATATAGGTTTATATATGCGATTAAGATTTTGTTCAGCTCTACATGTAGCAAATGACGAAGTTTGAAAAGGTTGATTCTTCGTAAAGCATAAATTTAATGAAGAAAACATCTGATAAATGACGATTTGCCTTTATTCTATAATAAAATCTAATATAATTTGTTAAAGTCTTGGACCAGCCGTAAAAAATGAGAAAAAAGTAAATGCTGCAACGAAAAAAAAAATGACCAGGATTTTTTAAAAAATGCATTATAATGGGAAGATTTGACTTTGCTACAAAAAATGGGTGTGGGGTTGTTAGAGGTGGGTGCAATTAGCCATTCAGTAAACATCTTCATTCTATATATATCAATCAATTACCATTGAAAAATTATGTATGAAACAACCCCCCCCCCCCCCAATACAACATGCCTTTATTTAATTCCTAGTAAATAATGCTTTTTTATGTATAAAACTCCCAAATTACGGGGAAATTAAATCTGAAAGATTGAATACAGATTTATTTCCCTGTTATATTGCATCTGATTATTATTTTAATTTCTTAGTACAAAGATGAAGTGTTTGTCTGCATTAAAGGTGATGAAAATCAATACCGGGTCATTTTTGTGTAGGAAGGTTTGCAATAAGTTCAGTTTAATCTTTGAATTGTTTTTTAAAAGGAAAGAATGACCTCTTATTTTTTTAAATGAATCATATTTGGCCATTTCTTTAGGCATGTACGTAACAACGTTCTTCAGGGGAAAAATGGGGGGGGGGGGCTTAAAATGACAAGTTAAAAGTAAGCAAAAAATCAAAAACAAAACAAAGACAGAAAAAAATGTATTTCGGTAAGGGGTTAATCCCTATTCGACAAAAGAAAATTGAGCTAAAATGGCAGTGCTCAGCAATGTCGGCGATACCACCAGAGGTTACTCGGTAGATAAATACAAGAATATCTAATGCGTACAAAATCAGACCTAAGGTCAAGGGCGTTTCATAGATACTAGTACAGCATGTCAAAATTTTATGAGCCTGAAACGACAGAAGAAAATTTGATTTCTTTTTAAATCTGAGATAAATACTTCTATCAACGTGCAAAATTGACTCTTGAAATAAATCTTACTTTGAATATTATTTAAAAACATATGTTCTTTTTATCAATTTAATTATAAATCTTTATTTATTCCTTGACTACAAAGTACTTGTTATTAATAATTATTAGTGACATTTTCTGGATAACGGTTGTAAACTATAAAGGGACAGAGTGTAAATTGCCCTCAACACTTTTTAATGTCCTATGTAAAAAAAAAAAATTCAAGTAATTATTTAATTTAAACTTCTTTCATGTCCATGCATCTTGTCTAAGCTTTTCACAGACTATGTTATTTATTCAATACATGTCATTTTATCACTTAATTCGCTAATTGTTGTCAAAGAATTCTGTTATATACCAGTATCTGAATTGTATGTGTCAGTTCAGAGGCCCGACGCATTACTGGCCACTTCCGTCTGTGTCCCCGCATATATTTCTTAAATGTTAAAATTGTTGTCCAGTGATTAAAGCTTTAATAAACTTGGAAACTGATTTACTCGTTACTTTAGATTTGAAATACATATATGTGATTTTGGGAAGAGTCCTAGGAATACGGCACTACTACTTCCGGCCCACAGTGCCTCTCATTTTACTGCCAACATTCTTTCTCTCTCGATCAACGACATATCTTATTAGACCCAAACTAAGCGATTATACTTCCACAAAATTTGAGAACCACAAAATGATTGGAAGAATATGTAGGCCTAAGCCTTTGATTTTTTTTCTTCAAACGAAATTTAGCGAAAAGAAAAAGGGGGGGGGGGTACATGATGAATCAATGTGACATAAAAAAAAAAACTTCAAAATATATTCTGAACTTATAATGACCGTACAAAGATATGATGATAATATGAAAATTATATCCTCATCCTCAGTTTTTGTAAGATTACATGTTCACTGCAAGACATACGAATATTGATCTGCTTATAAGTCGGTACAGGGCAAATAGGTGGTGCAAATACTGTGACGGTTTACGCCAATGTTGCAGGGAATATGGCCAACTTTAAAATTATAGTGTTTGTATGCCCTCTCGAGCTCCCGACTCAGGACGAAAAAATTGGAGATTTTTTCCCCGGAAAATTTTAATATCAATATCGTAAGAAACATACATTACCCATGTAAAAGAGGTAAGGGATTGTCTTGGCACATATTATTGCCTGTGTCAATATTTACGATCGAATGTAGGACAATTCATACATGTATGTTCAGTATTGTAGGTACATTTTGCCTCCTACCCCTTCCTCAAACTTCAAACTTTAATTTGTCAGGAAACATCCTCAAACTTTATTCTTTTAACTTGTCAGAAAATTTTAACTGGATTGTGTTACTGTGGATGCCCCCCCCCCCTTCTTGCCGATCAATTTTCTGTATCCGCCCTTCAAGATTTCTTTCATAAATTCATCTAGGTCATGAATAAAGCAACAAAAATGATATCCTTATGATGAAAAATTATCAAACAATGAACTCGATAATTACAAGGAAGACGAAATGTTATCAGTCTTATCTTACGGATTCTTTTTAAAAAGAATTAAAAATATTTTTCACAAACTATAAGTAAATAAAAATACAAGTCTATAAAATATCTAAACACATATCTTTTATTTGTTTGTTTTTTATTTAATATTTACTTTTCTCTGAACCGTATATCAAAGCATTATTCACGTCTAACATGACGTGGCGAGTGTATAACGTTATTATTAAAAAGAAAAAAGCACACCGGGTATTTACCGATATAAAACCAATATCTGTGTTTAATTTGAGAAAACTTACATAAATAATTTTTTATCGGACTTTTTAAATCGTGTGTGCTACAAATGACCGAAATGGACATTTATTTATTCTGTCTTATCAGAGTCCAAAACACCTCTTCTTTATAAAATTTAACTAATAACAATGAAACCGTTTCGACAACTAGTGTATAATTAAGATATACTTTAACGAAAACAATTATATCAAATATTGCATGTAGAATAAAAGCAGGGGATTTATGCATAAATTTTTCATATATGTTTTAGTGTGATAAAGTAAGTTTTTTTTCCCAATCAGATACGTATTTCAAATATTTCTGAGAGGGATATAAAAGCGTCAGTTTGAACGTCTTTTTTCAACGTCATTTTACAAGGTAATTTTAACATTTGCTTAACCTTTGATTCCCTATATCTCAGTAATTATTCTGAATATTTGAATCAAACTTTATATTTGGTTATTTTACACTATAATCTATCATAATCCATTGAAAAGTCAATTTTGAAAATTTTCACCGTAAGGGCCCTTTTCGCATGGGACGGCTCATTATTTACCTAATTAATTGAACTGTTGAAAAATAATCAAATCATATATGTGCTGTAGATTTGCATGTAATTACTTTTTCTTACATCTAACTTTAAAGAAGTACGTGAAGGGTGTGTACCTCTCATAACTTGTAGTACTGCAGCCATCCTCCCCTCCGTCATCAGTCTCATTAATGTTATAGAACTACTGGCTTGTGGACTTGAAACATCACGGTTTAAGATACGGGACTCTGTTATATAACGACGTAAGGAGAGATCTGAGGCCACATGTATAAGGAAGTCTTTGTCTATGTCACTCAACAGACAGTTCTGTTTGTAAGATTCTTCTATCTCATATTGTCTGCCAAATGGGATGCAATACCGAGTTCCGTGCATGTGATACGATTCTCTGACATATAACAGTCCTCTGTCCTCCAGCTCCTCCAATGTCTTCCTGACATCAATGTCTCCCATAGACACGTCGTCATCATCATCCAGATCGATAGAATGATAATCATTACCAACATAACACAAGTTCAGAGTGTAGAGAACAACACGTTGATTCTCTGTTAAATCTGATAACGGATCTGTGAGAAAAATAATTATCTTAGTTATGAATAAAAAGCACAAAATATCAAAGAAAACTTTAACATTGTATTAAACATTACAAAAAAACATATCATATTTCATATCTGACAACAAAATTTCCAAAGGGGAAAAAGATTGAATGATTTATCATATATGATGGGTTGAAATAAAGAAAGAAAACTCTTTTTGTAATTTCAAATATTGCTACATTTTCTATACTTAAATGTAAAAATTGTTTTTGTTATTTCTAAATTATTATCTTTGTAAGAGGAATAAACAAAAATATTTACAAATAAAAAAAATTACAATTGGTTGAATGTTAATGGAAATAATTCAAAAATATTCAACAAATTGTTGAACAGATGACAAAGGTCATACTCACCAGGGGTCAGAGGTCGATCTTCATGTCCAGACTGATGCTCGGTAATGTCGGACTTACTACATGTACTGGTGTCATCAGAAATGTCGCTTCTAGTGCCAGCCGAATTGTTTGTCTTCAGTTGCTTTCTTTTAATGTCCTGTTGATGAAATACCAATTTAAACCATAATTTACAGTTTGTTTTATACAGACCTGTATCATACTGGGAAGTGTGCTATGTATAACTAGGTAACTGTGTGTTCTGTACATATGAACAAGTATGCTGTTATCATGCCGTGGCTGGCAAAGACGTTTTAGAATTTTATTTATTTTTCCCATAAATGTCTTTAAGCTTCATGTATTCTGACTCTTGATATCCTTACATGGAACATGGATTCTAAAGTATTTTAATCATTTTAGCATAGGTTTAAGAACAAAAACTAACTGGTTAATCACAGAATTGTATAATTCTTCCTGTGTTTTATTGTCTTAAAATATACACCTACATTTCCCTTATCTCCTGTCCTTCCTTCACAATGTCTCTTCTCCGCCATCATTAAGCTCTATACGGTCAAATCTAATGTCAAAAAAATAAATCTAATGTGACCTAATAAACAAACGTATATCAAGGAATTTATTTCATTTACTATTTTTTTATTACTCTATTCTTAAGTCCTTTCTTATCATGTCTTATCTTTAAATACTTTGAACATGAACATAAAATAAATAATTTTTTATACATACATTGTATTTATTCATTCTAATTGATCAGTGTTGATTTGCGTACACATGTACCGCTCAATGGTCATCTGAAAAGGAAATATTTCATAATTAAAACAAGGGCTATATCAGATTCATAAATATATTTTTAATTACAAGTACTTATAACTGCTAAGTCTGCGCAACCTCGATATTTTGCATCACTAATAGAATCTTTCAAGGATATTTGACAGTAAAAATATCGGATGAGTTTATAATTAATCAAATAATCTCATTAGAAACAATAATATACTAGTAGTTGACATAGAGCTATGCGTTCCTTATGGATAAGACAGTATACACTTATCCACTGGCTGTGAGTGGGATAGCTCTTTTATCAAACCCGCGACAGGAACTATTCCCCGAGGGCTTGCCCGAGGGGAATAGTTCCTGTCAAGGGTTTGATGAAAGAGCTATCCCACTCACAGCCAGTGGATAAGCGTTTTATTATACTGATGTATATCATAATTTCTGAGTGTTGGATTTACCCTATACTACAGTTCGATAGTAAAATCATGAAGAAAAAAAACGATTTATAAAAGTTCTGAACAAGTATTTGGAATAAGATAACACTGCTAGAATGAACTGAAATCCTGATGACTTCACAATGCTACTGAAGTCAGGATGACATCATAAGTCTATAGATTGATTACAGGAAATCAAAATTGGCGGCGAAAATTGCATGAAAATTTTCCGAGGGGTGGATAGCAAAAACTATACCCCGGGGTATAACTTTGCTATGTGTGGAAATTTTGAGACTATAAAAATAGTTATTTTACCTTCTTAACTTTATATAGGAAACATTTTAACAGAAGTATAATAAACAAGTCTATAATTAATTGAATGTAAACAACAAAACTCTGAGACAAGATAAGACGTGAACAGTCCTAATTTATTTCAATTTTGAATTTATGCTTTACTATATCTTTATTAATCATTATGATTTAAAAGGTATCATTTTCTTGAAAATGGCGTAAAATAGTAAAATGGTTCACACACATTAATCCATCCTCTCTCTCTCTCTCTCTCTCTCTCTCTCTCTCTCTCTCTCTCGTCTTTTTTTTTTTTTTTTTTTTTGATATATATATATGTTTATTCACCAAACAAGGGCCCTCAAAGGGCATATACAATTCTTTCAGTGACAGTATGATCACAAATAATATTGCAATATCGTAATAAATTGTATTTTAGAATATTAATCATTTCTACCATGGAGGTACAAATTGGGGGATGAACAATACCACAAGTAAGATACTCGTGAAAATGCAAGATTTGTAACATATCCACAATTGTCTGAAACAGGGTAAAAAACATTTAGTATAAGTAAAGATAAAGAAAATGATAATCAATATAGCACGGAATATCTCTCTCTTCTTTCTATCCCTACAAAATTATACGCAATAAAATGTTAATCTCCATCTATCTATATTCATATAAATATGAAGAGCAATGAATTTAAGTTAAATTACCTAGTCTTTTTTCGCCATTTTTTTTTAAACCAGGAGGCCTCCAAAGGAAAATTTCAAATCTTAATATCCACAAAGACCTCTTTAATTGTCGAATTTAATTTTGAACCACAAATATTTTATTTTTTATGCTACATATGAACATTAACAGGTTCTCTTGCTCACAGGTATGTTAAAAATATAAATTTTTATCCTTAAATAAAACGAAAGTAGAAAGATATTTTACTACGGTGTTGGGGTTTCCGATAGGGTACGTAAACCTTTGCAATTTGGTAAATGAATAACATGTATATAGGCGCTCCATTGCAGGCATTTGACGTTCTAAACCCTTCTCTTCATTGATAAATAATGTCCCCAATCTTCAAAGGTTTACAGTGTCAAGTGCATTGAAACAATTTTAAAATATTCTAAAATAAAGTTATCTGTTGTGGTTAAATATTTGTTTGGGCATTAAATGTTTTGTGTTTATGATTCAAAAGCAATCAATATACCAAATAATGATATATTTTCAAGTCCAACTGATTCTCTCCGACCATCTAATGGTACATGAGGTTCTATGTTTATACAAAGACAATATCCATGGTGCATGTGAAATGCATATGATATACATACAAGTAAATAAAGTAATTATGTAGGACATACTGTTGTTAGAGTTTATATATATAATTGCACAGTTTAATTAATACATTAAAATTAGCAGTTTACAATTTATAATTCTGAGAATTTGTTTAAATTTGATCTATTACAGTATATTCATATAGGTGGATACTTTCCGACATTTTGAAAAATTGACATACTTACTCATACTTACACGTGTAATATTTGAAGAGAACCATCAATTTCTACTTCAATTATATAGCTTCTATCAGGTCATTTTAATTAATACTAAGTGCATGGTCTCATAAATAATTTTATGGAATTCTCATCATTTTGTATTATACAGTGTACATATGTATTCATTACTTTCGCTCACAGGCCTTTCGATCGCTTAAATCCGACTTACAAAAAATCTGGGATATTTTTAACACCCCAATTTTTTGTAAGTCGGATCAAAGCGATTTTAAGGCTTGTACTTTCGCCATGTCAAATGCACAAGTAATTTCAAACTCTACTTTTTTGTATAATTATAATCATCTCAAGCGCATTATTCTGTACTACCCCCCCCCCCCCCCCCCAAAGGATTTGTTACTTCAACAAATTATCCGGAGAAGGATTATAATATAGGTTTCCAAACTTGTTTCCGATTCCTCTTTGATCTTCACTTAATAAATGTACCGTATACAAATAAAATATGGTTTTAACTAAAGATGATTTTTTGAAATGGATGAAAAAAAGAATTAAAGTATTATATGAACAGAGAATTTTTTATTTATAATTTTTATTTGAAATAGACAGTTTCTATTGTTATAACTGTAAATTGAGTTTTCATATATTTGCATGCTTAAAAATCCAGTAATGAATGTTGTAGCATATTAAATGTTTCTTGATCTGGAACTTAAAAAATGGGTAATTCTTGCATTTAAGATAATTTATTTATGAAATGTAGACAGAAAGTACATAAAAAAGACAAATTGTGATATAATCAGCACAGCTAAAATCAGTATAAGAATAAAACTGTAAATTATTTTCATAGAATCAATAATTAATTCTACAAGTGATAAAATGTCTTGATTTTTTTTTTCGTTTACTAGATCAGAAACACAAAAATATTTAATTCATGCATATACTTTAATTAAATACATATTTCATGAAAAGTTTTACAAAAAACATTTTTTTTTATTCACTTCATTTCTTTGATATTAAAAAACAGACTATAGCCCTGTAGTTTTTCCAAAATGTTGGCTATAAGTGGGAAGACACTCAGATGAGATTCCTAAAAATGTTGTAATATATAAACTATACGATCACTAAGGATTCAATAAACTGATAAACTTTTGCTTGAATTAAAGAGTATAGTCCTGTTGTTGCCTTACATTTAATTTATTTATGCATCGTTTAAATTTATTTTTGAAATTTAAACGATGTATTATCGGGGGAGGAGGTTATTAAAAGACTGCCCGCCACCTCAACTTTTTTGTCGTATAGTGAAATCCGGTCGTGTTTGGGGGTGTTGGAACCTAACACCCCCCCCCCCCCCCGCCCGGATTTCTCCCCATCTCCCACTTTCGAAAACAACTTAATGCCTAGTTGGTCATGTGAATTAAAAGATTAATTAAAAGTGTAAGGTGCACAGATGGTAAACGGTTCTGTGTGTCTCAAACGGTTAAAAAAATCAGACCTATTACGAGCCTATTCTAGTACGACTTAATGTAATCCTAATGAAAACAAACATGGCGGACACAGTGACAGCACAAAACCAAAATCTATCTAAAAGAAAGATATGGGTGCATTTAAAACGTTTAGATCAAACAGAACTAGGTACATAAAAAGTAATTTGGGCGTCTTTGATATCGTGATATCATGAATCACTGATACCATAACTTGTATGGAAATACATTACATATGACAACGTGTCTCCGTCTCTGTCTATGAAATTTTAGGTGGAATAGCTATGTTAGTCACAGGTACTTGGGTCTTGGTTTATAAATATGTATGTACCTTATTGATATGTAAAAAAAAGTAAAGGTATGCAGGCTCCGTTATGGCGTCTGCTCAACTCGCTTGTTTACATGGCTCGTTCTTTGAAAATAACGCTGCACCGGACGTCTCGGAACATTGATTACTTATTGTAAAAATCCTCACATTTTGCAAATAATTCCTAAAACGTGACTTTTAAACACTTTTTCAAACTTTTTGTTAACGTGCCGGGAACTAAGTGCAAATAGTAAAACCTGATTCAAAACAACAAACTCCGGCCATTCAGACCATTTGCAAGATGTGAGGATTTTTACAATAAGTAATCAATGTTCCGAGACGTCCTGTGCACAGTCTAGACGAACTCCAAAAACAGCATTCCCGGAAGTAAGAAATTTAGACTGAAAAAGACTCCAAAAATAGCGTTCGCGCATGCACACAAACACAAAAAATAGCGATTTTTCGGCAAAAATTATGGGTCTACATAAACTGTCCGTGCAAAGTTTTGGAAAGTATGGCAATTATACCAGTACTCAGAAATGCTAAATAAAAGACTTCGGAAGAGATCGCATTTGTCAGATTTTTTATTTTATTTGCAAAAAAGGAGATATTTACCTTCAAAGTTAACGTTTCAAGTCAGATCAATTACAGAGAAAATGATATGTTTTGAGAAGTAAATATGCATAATAAAAGGGATATATATGCAAAATGTGACAATTATATATTGTAACTGTTAAAAACCAGACTGAATTTTACACAAATTAGCATACCACTTTTTTGTGTACGACATCTGAATTGAACAAGCAAGTTTTTACAAGCGTTATTTACCGATTTTTTATCACATATGAACAGATATTATTATGGAAACATTTTCAAAACTATTATCTATCAACACTGATCAATATGAAAACTTTAAAAACCACTCTTCTAGATATTAAGGACAGAACATGTCCTCTAAAAATGAATCTGTTAATATATCTGCTCCGTGCTGAAAAATGCACATTTTCTGATTAAAATAAATACAAGATGGGTGTCTTCAAAAGCAAATAAAAGCACATTTATTGTAGGAATGACATAAAATTTAAATCAAGAAGACCAATAAATTTAATAAGAAAATATTTCTTACCGGCAGTATTAAATTCGATGTCGTATATCCAGTTCACTAAATATGCAAGAGTTTGAAGCGATAAATAAGTCAATATCCATAAAATAATTTAATAAATGCAATTATCCATTCAACAAAAAATAAAATGAAGAAATTATGCACTAAATACAGCGATTATGCAGTTGTATATTTGGAGAATGAGAACGACAATCCATCGTTTGTTTACATCAGACGCCATTTTGCTGCAATGCATGATGGAGCCAAAGACTTCGTTTTCGGAGTTCATGCTGTTTTTGGAGTTCGTCTAGACTGGTGCATAAACATCAGTAGGTGCAGCGTTATTTTCAAAGAACAAGCCATGTAAACAAACGAGTTGAGCAGATGCCATTACGGAGCCTGCATACCTTTACTTTTTTTTTTACATATCAATAAGGTACATACATATTTATAAACCAAGACCCAAGTACCTGTGCAATACACATGGATAGTATGAAAATCGGATGGGGGGGAGGGAACGATAAAAGTCGTAGTGCAAACAATCGCTAAGGCTTGTAATGTAAAAAAATAAGGTGTGAAATAAGAAAATCATTAGTTAGAACAGGGTTGGGGTCATTACATGAAAATGTAATTAAATGCTTTCAAATACTTTGATAATTTTGTCATTTTTACTTGCAATTAAAATTACATTGATTTTTACAAAATGTAATTATAATTACTCTCAATTACTTTGAAGAAAGTATTGAAATACATATCAATTACTTAGTTTTATTTCCAAAAATGTTGAAGAACAAATACATTAATATTTTGAAGCAGCAATCATATGTTGACGGTGCAACTGTTAGGGCGAGCGCAAGTACCTATTCAGTTTTAATTTAGATCAGGTTCTTCAAACCGCACGTGACATTTGGTACGTCTAGACTCTGACGTCACATGACGTCGTATGTAAGTTGCATTACCAAAACTAAGTCTGAAGATTGCTAGTTTTAATAAAGAACATTTAATCTACTGTTCTTCTCCAATAATCATTCAATCGATGTGACTTTATTTTTTTGTTGAACTTTTGTAACTACCACGTATTTGAAAAATACATGACATTTTTGGAAAGTATTTAAATACATTCAATTACTTGTAATTGAAAGCAAACTCAATTACAATTACTTTCAATTACTTTGAAAAAATGTATTTAAATACAGTAAATTACAATTACTCATTTTAATTACCCCATCCCTGAGTTAGAATAAACTAACTATGTCTAGGGACAGACCCTCACCAATCCTCACCACAGTTTGAATGCCTCCCATGTATCCACAATCGTAGCAGAAAATTGCAGAATGATTTTAGAGAAAATAAATGGAGTTGCATTGAAAATAACTGTCAAATTAATCATAACAAACCTTTTTTGAAATTGTGGATACCATTCATGCAAAATAATTAATCCATACTATGAAAAAATTCAACATTTAAATTTTTCTCAACATTTTTGACTTATTTCATCACTTTCAAATTTACACACCATGTTGACATTTGGAACTCTCTGGATTGTTTATAGTGTATACACTGAGTTAGAGTTATCTCCCATGTTTTCTTTCCTATATTTCCAAGCCAATTCACGAAACGCATTCTATCGTTAAACCGGGTCTGTAGGACAATTATAATATTGTACGATAGAACATTCTATCGAGAAAATCATATATTGTAAATTGTTTAAGCCTCTAGTATATGAATTAAAATTAAAAAGAAGAAATTCATACATGCAAGGAGTAAGCCCAGTCACTGCAATGAGAAATGTTTGATAATAAAGCCTTTAAGTGCTTGCTGGCCTAGAAAGAGTATAGCATAGAGGCAAGTTGTCGTATTATTTCCATATCATATTCTAAAAAATAATACCTCTCATACTTTAAAGAATACTGTAGAAGCACAAATCTTCATGGGGATAAAATTTCATTGATTTGTCATCTATAAAGGTTTCATGGGCATTAAATTTCATTGTTTCGAAAAGTAACCTTATTCAGAATATAGTCATATAAAAATTTGTGTGGAATTTAATTTCGTTGATAATTATTATCAAAAAAATAAACGAAATTTAATCCCCAACAAACATTATGCTTTTAAAGTAGTTCATACAGAAAAACTTTTAAATATAAAAACAGAGATATATTGTAGTTAATTTAAGGTTATAATGAGATCAGGGTCAATATACTTCCTTGTCCAAAATATCACAATATTTATCTTAAAAAATTAAGGTTATTTTTTTATCTTGGTCCAAATTTAAGTTCTATTTTTTTTTCTTTTACAGATAGCTATAGTGACAGTGACGATCATACAGTTGTACGAAGTTTATACCTCAAAGACCAGGATGGATTTAATGAGGTCAAAGGTCGACTTTGTGAAGCATTCCAAATCTATGAGGAAGGAATTGTCTTTAAGGTATTTAGAAAATATAAGTTTCAAAACAATGCATATAGTTTGGATCCAGATTAATATTCTATAAATTCTGACTTTCTAAGCCATGCAGTCAATATGGTTATACATGTACATGAAGGTAGGAAATACCAGTATTTAATTTTTAATTTTATAATATTAGAGGTATATACATGTACTAAGTACTAAAACTGCAGAAGAATATGTATGAGAAAGTCCTTTAATAAAACAATTACTTATTTGATTCTGTATAAGGATTTATCAATCCAGATAAACATGATACTTACCTCGGCTTCACCTCAGTTGAGATCGTGTTTCTAGGATTAATATATATGTAGGACTCCAAAGTGCGATGGGACCCCAAACCCCAAAATCCTATGGTCTGCACTAAACCCTGATGGTTCACACGCCAAAGTCCAATGGTGCAGACAAAATAAATTATTGATTATGACGTCATAGTACTTCTGGGCCAAATTCCATTGCCATGCCAAGGTTAAACAGTTTAAAATAAATTAAATGAATTTTAAGTATTTAAATGCCAAAGTAATATGGTTCACTAAAAAAAACGCAAAAATATATTGTAACACTTGCCATAACTTCTTAGGTGGTTGGGAGGCTAACCCTTATCTCTCGAATGGGTGCGATGCTAACTGTAATCTTTCGGATTGGTTCGAGACTGACCCTAATCTCTTGGATGTGTGCAAGGCTAACCCTGTCTGTAACATCCTGGATGGGAGAGAAACTAACCCTAATCAGTTAACATCTATAACTTTTAATCACATTAGGAATGCAGACCTGTTTACCCATATTGTTGTCTCTCAGTAGTTTTTCATTGATTTGTCAATGAGATTTGGCATTTGCCAGTAAGATTTCACTTTCCATTGATTTTAAATATATTACTAGAGAACAACTACATTTCTGATTACCATTTTTGTCATTTTTAAAAACCACCGCGTTTAAGCAATCAGACATCACTTAAGTGTTTGAAATATCTCTCTTTTTTAGCGATTAAATTGCTTCAAACTGAGACAGACAAACCGATTCCCGACTTCGTATTTTCATAAGAGCAAAACGTGAGACTTATTTTGGACTCAAAATCCGTAAAAAATACGGCGAAATCATAAGAGTAAACAGGTCTGGGAATGAGATAAAGACCTTCAACCTGTTTCATCTGAGGTCTGTAAGATGCTGGAGAGGAGTTTAATTGCCGTTACTGCGTTAGTTTTGCGCGGAAGCCATTTTAAAATTGTAAATGAAGAGACAAAATGGACGATTCGGATAATTCTGGACCGATTGAACGGAACCGTGATATCGGTTTAAAGCATCGTGAATTGAACCGTGGAAAAATATACCGCGATATCCCGTCAAACGGTTTATCATTGCATTCTTACTAATCAGTCAACCCTCTTTTGAGGTGCGAGACTAAAACTATTCAATCGAATAGTGTACAAGGATTAACCCTTCATGTCTTGGGTGGGTGCAACCCATCCTATAATCAGTTTAATTGTGCACAAGGACTAACCCTTATCAGCCAAGTGGTGTTCAAGGTCTAATCCTAATAACTCAGGTGAGTGCAAATATTAAGCAAAATCAGTCAAATTGTATTCAATGACTCATCCTAAATTATTGGTTTTGAATTACGGACTATGGCGTTGAGGATTGACGTAAGAATATTGTGACGTCATAAATATTAGTTATTTCTCCACACCATCGGACTTTGGGGTGTCAGACCATCGCATTTTAGTGCACGTGTATCATAGGAAACGAGCCATCGGGCTTTAGTGTGACCATCGCACTTTGGCTTCCGTACCGACATCAAACATTGGGGTTCGGCGCAGACCATCGCACTTTGGCATCACCATCGGACTTTGGAGTCCTACATATAATCCTCATACTAACCCCTAACATAAGACAATAAATGATTAATATTTAAGTTGTTAAAGTTGGTGAGAAAAGCCGTTGTGACATATTTTCATCATTCAAATGTAGAAACTGTTATCAAAATTTATTTCTGTAATGTGAATCAGTCTACCATCCAGGTGCTGTTCAGGCTCAATGAAGCTTAAACAGAAATGGAGAGAGACTGCACATTGCTAGAAGGTCTAGCTCACTAGCTAGGCAGTATAAACTCTCAATATTACTATTCACTACACTTTCAAATTAAAATGCAAACAAGTTTTGTAGTTTACTTGGAATTAATGTTTTCTTTCCCTGTAAACTTCAATGCTGAACAGATTTCTGCTTTTTCCTAACCTACATGTAAGTGCTCAGGTGATTGATATGGACCATGGGCCTCTTGTTTACTGTTTTGTACTTTACCTGGAATTTATTCTTTTTTCACTTTGTACAGCTTAGAAATCACAGAGGATCCCTGATTCCAATGAAAGGAAATATCCCTGTCAACTCCAAGTCTGTGTAAGTCATGCCCAATGGTGGAAAATCAGTTTTAGTCATCATAACATGCTATTACAACAGTTAATTCATATCAATGTTCATTTACTAAATAATGAAAAAGTCCTTTTATATGCATATGCCTTATTAGCTTGAAGTAAAGTTTTGAAAGTCAAATTTATATTATAAAAATATTACTGGTTTCTGCTGTTTTCAAATGATCATTAATTGAACTTTTTTTTCAGTCCCTACATTCTGGAAGTAGCCAAGGTCCATCAGAATGGTTTGTATCTTCATTTCTCAAGTAATGCAGAAAAATTTAAGAGTTACAAATGTATTCCCTCTACCTTGTCTTAGTATTGCATGCTTTGATGATCAAAAGTTTAACGATTAACAAGTTTTTGTTATGCCATCTTTTTTTGGTTTTTTAATAATTTACGAGATTTAGTACTTTTTTAATTGTCTCCATCTTTCAGTGACACCAAAGGCCAAGTCAATAAAGATCTCTGATCAGACAGAAACAATGAAGAAAAGATTTGAAGACATTATTAAAAGGGTATTTAGAAATCCATTCTCTGCAAGCAATTTTTTTTTTTCTGGAAAAGGGGGGGGGGGGGATACTAGAATCACCATGCTCATCTGTCCTCAGACATTTTTTGTCTATTGACAATCTCTGAAATTATTTGATATAATTTTAAGTTTTAAACTTTGAACAAACAATACATTTTATTACAAACATGTGCACCAGGAATTTTCTGATAAATTTAACAAACTTTTAAAAGTAATGCATTTTAAAGAATGTCTTTGACAGGAAAAAGAGAATTTGAATTCTTGTCTGGACATTACTTTAAAACCAAGAAATTTCAGAGGCTCAAACTTGATATAAAAAGAGCTATAGTGACCAGACTGTATCTCGATCTTTTAGCAAGGTCATTTTGGACATGGTCACAGACCTAGTATTGAAGTATTTAATTTGTGTTCTAGCCACAACTGTGGAGACTCTTTAGAAACTTTTAATTGAGGCAAAGGTTGCTTGCGACTCAGGTATTCCTGACCCAGAGTAAGTTAAAGGAGGTCATGATCACTGCTTTTAGAAATGTCAAATTCTTGCTATGACCACAACTCTGAAGTGGAAATAAAACCAATAGAAGACTATACTAGACACAATACTGGTACTGACCAGAGAGTCTGTGACAACCCTGTGCTATGACCATGGTCATTTGGACAAGGCTAAGGTTACTTTTGTTTTTAGTGTAAAATTCCTGTATAATATTTTAACTAAATAAAGAAGGTAATACTTGCCCTTAGATGATCATGTCATGACCCTGTACAAAAGGTCAGGTGGACAAGGTAAAGTTCACTGAGGTCAGAGGCATTCAATCTGAAGGTCTTGGAAATGTTAAATTCTAAAAGAAAAAAAAAGTTTGTATTGGAGGAGTACCAGAAGTAACACATAGCATAAAGACTGCATGTGACATAGGAAATCTGTCATGATATTTAAGGCTATATAAAATTGAAATTAAGATTCTCAGGCCCACGTGCATCCGTTTTGAGGTAGCCGCATTCCAAATTTTATCGTATTTTTGATAAAATAAAAAGTTGGTAATGCGGAGTTCAATCCGGAAAAAAAGTTCCACCTTCTTGTTTAGTACTCGAATATCACTTCCGTTAGTCATTTTCAAAGAAAAGGTGGCTACTTCGTTTAAAAATACACTTGAAGATAATGCTTACGATGTTCACAGGTTGATAAGCAATGGATAATGCAAACCTATTGATCAGACATGAAAAGTATGGAAAGTATATCATGAACAAAGAATTTTGTCATAATTGTATAGAAAATTCGGGTATTAAAAAAATACCTCCCTCATCTACTTTATCGTCAATAAAATGATTTTTAAAAAAAGGCCTCCAGCCCGCATCTGTTTTGGAGAAAATTGGTCTGAGAACCAGAGAATTAAATTTATGTAGCCTAACCATTGTTAAAGTGAACAGGGAATTACTTATGACTTGTTGAATTTTTAAATCTGAGTTTAGTCAGATCTTTTAAAAGGTGTAGATGGCCACTGATTCATTTGTAATGTGTCTTACCGATTGATTCATAAGGAAAACTCTGAAAGTTAGATTGAACCAAAATTATGTTTTACATTCAAGACATGTTAATCTGGACACTTTTGTTCCAAAGCAAATCATAAAGATTAATGTAAAACCCACATTAATGAAATGCCTATTATAATTGGTATAAATTTAAATTTTGTTCCCTAAAAATTTTGTGTTAAAGATGAAGTATTCAGATTATTGGCTTTTGGATTAATCTGGCTGCACTGTATTTAATATAACATGGAGAAAAGGGCAATCACATCATCTCAGGCCTTTCTGTCAGAGGTTGGAAAAAGAAGCTCGAATATATTCACATCACGGATGTTAACAATTTATGTAACATGGAGTCGCTTCCTATTTATTTTAGTATTGGATAGACGTTGTTGAAAGTCCCTTCTATAGTATATTTTAGGTAATATCTTAACATTCAATAAAGTTAAAATCCATACTCCACAGATAAGAGGTCTTCCCACATTTATTTAAAAGTTTGTGAAAAGAGGGGTTGTCATGGCGTCTGCATAATACATTTGAGGTTGTTTTTCCACTAGTCAGAAATGCCCTAGAAGTTGCGATTGGGAGGAAGGGATGTTGAGTAGGCTTGTGTTTTGTGCTTGATCACAAAATTTCTGGTTACCAGGGGTAACATGCCCAGTATTCTGAATACTAGTAACCAAGGAAAAGTCACCACTAACTCTAATTAAAACTGATAAATGAATTTAGTCAGGATCTAGTATCACTCATAGATCCAAAAAGGCACTTGTAATTAGTATCCAAAGCTGTTTTGAAATAATAACATTGTACATTTGACATCAGGTGGAAAATATAGAATCTGTGACACCAGACCTAGACTTCAGAAGAAAGGAGAGAATTGAGTCTGTAAGTACTTGTCTTAATGTTCTTGTATACATCAGGGATAAAACATAACAAAATTGCGTGGGGGGGGGGGGGGGGGTACTAAGTTGTCTTATGTAGATTTTTTACCCTTGTGATTTTATTAGTAAATTGCTTGACATGTTGTACCAAACATCAGTAATATTTACCAACATAAGGTGTGCAGTTATCACCACCATACTCATGTAATGTCATTTTCATCTTTGAAATAGGGAATTATTTGAGGGGGGGGGGGGGGCATTAAAGGAAATCAATTTTTTGTCTGTGTAATATGAAAAGAACAAAAATAGACAAATATTTACCTTTGAACTTTGACCTCTTGTACTTAATCTGAAGCATCCTATTACAGGAGATACGAGAACTAGAAAATAAACTGGTCTTTCTCCAGAAGCGACTGAATGAAGCGGAAGTCAGTCAGTGGAAGGGAATGTTTAAAAAGAACCCGCTGTGGTAGAAATCTCAAACAAAGGACTGTCTACGGTAAAGAACCCTTTGTCGGAAAAAAAACCCACTGTCATAGAAAACTCCAACAAAGAACCCACTGTGGTAGAATCTCCAACAAAGAACTGTCTGTTGTAAAGAAAACTGTGTGGTAAAGTGTGGTAAAGAACCTTCTGTGGTAGAAATCTCAGACAGCTGATCTAGTGCAATGACAAAAACATTGTCTACCTCTTGTTCTGTACATTTTGTTACTTGCTCTTTGTTATGTGTATAATGTGTTGTTGATTTTTTTAAAATGTTAATTTGGGTCATTCTTCGCTGCATAAACGTCAAGTAAATTTTTTTACAAAAACGGAAGCAATACTTTGACATCTTTTATAGTTATGTTATATGACCTGCTATCTAATTAGTGGAGATTTTAACTGCAATGGCCCTAAAAAACAGTACATTTTATTCAAGCTAGAAAAAGTGATAAGATGATAAGAACTAATAAAACATGTATGTGCCAAGAATATAATTGCATTTAATATTTAAGAAATTTTGAAACATATGATAAAAAAAAATATTTTTAAACAAAAACAATTCTTTGACATTTTTTAAAGCTCGTGGGAGTTGTTCATTTATTCATTACACTTTCACTCTCAGATAAATATTGTATACATGTATCTTTATTTTATTGTATTCTCAATACAGTTTTATATTATTATTGTATTCTCAACCCAGTTTGAAAAATTAACTTCTAGTGTTTTGTACCATATACATGTATATATTGTGTACAATAGTGCATTGTGATATAGTGTTAAATGGTTCATTTTAAACTTGCTCTAGGAACCAGATATATTTTTATTATGTGTATATATAAGGTACATGTTGATGATTATTGTAAGTCTGTGATCATTAAATAGAACATACAATAAAACGTCAGTTAGTTAACTTATAATACTTACAAAGAGTTCATACCCCTTACAATTTATTATTTCAAGAAAGTCAATCTTGTGATTTTTTTCTTTTTGCTGTTTGTTATTGCCATTATGGTAAGGTTATTATTTTTATATAATCATGATAAAAATGGGACATGAAATGAATGACTATTTTTGTTATATTTTACTTGAGAAGATAACATTGATAACTTAATTTCATTGTATTTATGTGTGTTTTAAAGTAGCTGTAAGTAAAAATGCCCTAATCATTTACAGTACATTGTGTGATGTAGCATGTTCTTAGTCTAAGAATTCAGTTTACATGGTGTCTACAGTCAGACTTTTTCCCAATTTTTTTGCCAGAATTTATTAGTATTTCCAAAGAGTTGTCCCCCCTCCATTGACAAATCAGTTGAATTAATATTTCTGTGAAGATTAATATTTTTCCCCCAAGGATAGAAACATTAGCTGGAAAGAAGGAAGAAATATTTTCATCGTTCAATGGGAAGAAAAATCTGTAGAAAGAATTTAAACAACAAAATCAGAATATAGTTGTTGTACAAAATAAATATTGTAGTACAAAGTGATGTTCAGTAATTAGGATATTGTAACACCCCAGTGACCCCACCCACACACGCACCTCCATTCTCAATCTCTATTTTATGAAGAAAAAGAGGAGCCAATTTCCTTAAAATCTGTCATCAGAAGACGATATCACCCGTGGGTATACAACGATGGTTTTTGTAATTTACATAAGGAAAAATTCAAGAAAGATAACTCTGCCTCGCTTGATGAAACGCGTGCAGCGATCGATATTGAAATTGATGCAATATTCTAAGTTGGGAATTTATTTCAATAAATAAATTAATAAGTTTAAAATATCATTGAAATTGGTGTTCTTCTAAGATGATCTAACATATAAGACCCTGAAAACTTTATTTGGATGTCAAGGTTATGTAAAAAATGAATCTCCGTAAGTGTGATTGTGCGACTCTGTCCCAGTTCCGAGTGGGAATTTTAGTATTAGATGGAGAGACTGGTCTCTATATAAATTAAGAATCTAATGCAAGATTATGTATCTTTTGTAACACTGGCTCTATTGAAGATGAAGTTTATTTTTTTAACGTGAACGCATATAAAAATATCAGATCTCAGGTTTCTTTGTTCTTAACTTAACAGACATATATTGAATGTACACACAAGAAAATGTGTTATCTATAAAGCAAGAAATGTTATGTATTTATTATAGGTAATATTTGTAAACTTATCTTATAATTGATATGATTTAATATTGCTTATGTATATATAAGCTATGAATTCTAAATTGATTAGAATCCATTGTGGTGCATACTGTTACCTTTGTCAAAAGATGATATATATAGGCCCAGTGTGCCGGGTGTTCAAGTTAATTTGAATTTTCTATACATTCTTGTACTTATATATGTAATACATGTTACTATAATATATATAAAACTTACCTACTTAGCTGGTTTATCTTTGATTGATAATACATGGATATTTTATTATGGAGAACAAATGGGAAATACAAGTACATATACTAGTATTATATACCATTAGCAAAAAATTAGCTGAAAATGTAATTTGTTTGCTTGGATCGAAATCGTGTTCCACAGTTCAACAAGGTACATTGTACATAGAACTTTCAATAACTGGAACACAGGATAACATTATATATCAACGGTTGTGTGAAATTGACCTACAGTGGCAGTTTTCTGTAGTTTACACGATTTATTTCTGTCAGGAACTGAAATAAGCTTGTCAAAATGCACTGTTAATTAAGTAGACTTTTTTATGTATAGATTTTTATTTGGAAAAAATATGCTTGCTTCACATTCTTTTCAATTTTGCAAAGCATGACTGATTAGATTGTTAGACTTTACTATAATATGTCTTAATTTTTTAACAATACCCCTTAACAATGAAATTTTAGGACAGAATTGATTCGCCTTATTGTTTAAGGTGATTTAAATTTTGATAGCATTATACATGGTAGATAATGTCCCCGTGTGGATTAATATATATCCGTCAAACGGAGATAAACATCGAAGACTTGTGTTTTAACATTAGGTGTTTTTGCGTTTGTGCGATGTTATGTCAAATTTCTTACTTACGTCGTGCAATTGATTTTTCTGGACATAGGTCTAGGGGTAAAACAGGTTAACAAACCAGAAAAAACTGAAATATTTAAAGGGAATTAAATAGATCCGTGAATAACAAGCATTTTCAATTTAATTTTAATCCCCTCAGAGGACAGGTGAAGGGCAGGGCTAATTTTATATCCCTGAAAAATAAAATTTAGAAAGCTAATATGTCAAAACATGTGTGTTGAAGTAATATTACACGTACATGTATGTTATCAAGGGTTTTAATAATTAACAATGCAGATTAAGATATACTAAAGGATTTATTGTGTAACATGCTGCACTCCTACTAAAATTGGTCTAAAATTGAATTTATTTTACTCTTTATATAAAGAGTTATATTGTTTTCAGCAAGTTCAGTTTTGGCTTTTTTGTTAGAGGGGCAGATAAGAAGGATGCAATAGAAACATACCTACTTCGTCAAAACCATGAACAATTTCACACCACAAGATTATGTAAAGATACACCGTTGCAGAAAATACCCAATTTTTCACCTGTTTTCACTAGCAATGTCGACGTGATGGTGAGCACACGCACCATAACAATGTTTTATATTGAATGATCAAGACATTTACAATTTAGTCTAATAAATCGTTACAAGATCGAAAAGGACCCACTCCCCGTTTTGTTTTGAATTAATTTTTGAAACTTATTTTTAATGTATGAATTGAGTGAAATTCATGAAAATCGGTGAGCATCTTAACAAAAATCTTGCAATTTCACTTGTTAACATTATTCCTGCATAAATAATTTTCAAATCCAGATATTTGCAATTGACCACATTAGACACAAACCAAAGCCAAGTAAAAATTTTGGAGAGGCCAAATCCTATTTACTCTCTCTCTCTCTCTCTCTCTCTCTCTCTCTCTGTTGCCCACCTGCTGCAATGTTCAATAATAAGATTACATAACTGTTTTCTTATCAAAGAGGTAAAAAATTTAAAGTCTACCAATCCTTTGTGACTGAACAAAAAGAACTTCTAACAAATGTGAAAGATCGGTGCATTGCTCTTTGCAAGGTGACCAAGAAACCTTTATATAGAACGGGCTGAATTAAGTTGAGGGTAATTAATTACTTGCTTGAGACGTTTTTCTTACTCATTTTCTTACATGCAAAGGAGATTAACATGGGCGCTTTCATTCAGATCAGATTTAGTCCTTAAGGAAAACTTGACATACAGCCAATCCCTGGATGTCGATGGAATATGCAGCGACATGTTTCTGGGGTTAAGGTTTGGGGGGTTTAGTTCTGTCGTATGTTAAAACAGCAGAGCGATAATATACAACATATGCGCTCTTTACACAGGAATTTATTTTTTTCTTTTAAAGAAATGTGATGGAATATAAATAGCTAGATGATTAATGCTATTGATCGAGAACCCTTGTCTTCTTAGCATTGATAGTATCTCACAATATTGCAGCCTTCGTAACTTGTTTCGCCTTTCAAACACATTTTGACCTAAATTGCTTATAAATAATGAGCGTACAGTACATTTGCAATATATGAGTTTACAATCTCTTGACCTAATTATTGCGAGAAAAAATTTAGTACTTGAAGTTTCTTCAAAGGATATTTTGAGTGTTACAAGATTATTGTCTGCAAGGAAAACGCTGTTTTGATCCTCATCTTCACCAAGAAGCGAAACTTTGTGTCATTTCAGCATAGCTATCTCTAATTATTGGACCCGTACCTATACAACCTTTATTTCTAGACGAACGATCGAAGCACTTTGATTAACGCTTGATAATCATATTCTACCTAAACGTTTACGTAATATAAAAGTGAAGATTTTGCAGTGTCGGCAGAACGAAGGCATGTGAAGATGGCAACAGACGCCCACAAACATGTATAAACTCGGTAGGGGTATAACTAAGGGGGACAGTTGTGGGTGTAAAAATGTATAAATAGCATAATTCATGGAACAGCTACAATGTATACTGTATGAACTAAAGTGAGAGAAGACTGGGAAAATCTCAGGAAACTCACCACTAGTTTTCCCGTCCTAGACACGACGGTATATTTACAGTATCAGCCACCCCCTCCACATTTTTTCCAAATGAATTGTTTCACTGTTAATTGAAAATGTTCATTGAAAGGGTGGTTGGCCCCCAATATTGAAATAAAGGCTAATGCGGTAATGTATTAATATAATTAGGTTGTGTGAAAAGTTGGAACCTCCATCCCCCCCCCCTTTCAGGTAATAGGATTGTGGAGTTTGAACTTTTTTTTTGGCTTGTAAAATATTTTTTTTCCTGGCTGCCCCCTGTCAAAAATAGTAATACTATATACAAATTATACTGTGTTGTATAAGGGTAGGGATATTGAAGTCATAATTATGGTCGATATCGTATTTTTCTTCATCATATCTTGGACATAATTTTAGTCAATTACTTTATTTCAATGATAGAAAAATGTCTAAAACAAAAATATTAAAATATTTTCTGAGAGAGATGGGGGCAGTTACAACTTTATATAAAGGATATGAAGAAAGGTCATTACATATTTTCCTTTGAATCTCGAAAACAAATAAAAACAACGAGAAAATATTTAAAATTTGTGGTTTTTACGTTCTAGG